GCAAGTGAGAGTTCCCTGCTGGAAAGACCTTTTAGCCCTGTGACTCCTGAATATTTCCCACTCGTGGTCCCCTCTAGCCTGCCACTTTACCAGTGAAGTTGCACAGACCAGCTCCAATCTCCTTGCCTTTCCAACATCTCATTCCAGCCAAGCTGCCGCTGCTAACAACCATCACTACAGGTTGATATTTTACAGCATCTGGTGGGAGCAGATATGTCCATTCTAGCCCTGTGATATTCATCATGAGAAAAGGTGAGTTAAATAAAAATGAGTAAGCTAATAAAAAGGCTCTCCTGGTTAAAAGCTAAGTGATTATAGCTGCTATACCAGATTGGAAATGACAGAAGCATCTCATAAAAGAGTCACTACATGCACACCTACCTCGAGAAAGCGAGCAGAAAGGCTGAGCTGTTTATAAATCTACCACAGCGAAAGGGATCCAGGAGGGGATCAGTAACTCTGTTCACAGAGCTCTTAAGCTAATCCTTCCAGTCTTCGAAAGGCTGCATCCATTTTAAGGACATAGCTATGATCCTCCCAAACCATGAGAATGTCTTTCAAGGAGTTTCTGATCAACGTGGTCTCTTTTTAGACTTCAAATATCTGCCTACAGGCTTACATACCTCCATATAGGCTGGCATGTATACAGCTTGCAGACGGAAGGGTTCTGAGAAGCATCAAACGAGCAGACCTAGGAGTGAAAAAACTTCTCCCACATTGCAAGCAGGGAAGAAATGGGAGAAAAGGGGCTAATACGATACGAACAGAGGAAGCAAGCAGAGAACGATGGGACTAAATCAAGTGGATTAAACAGGGATGGAAGATGATGGGGAAGAAGGCATAGAGGGAAGATGTCTAAGGGAAGAAAGAGTAAAGAGAGCAGGTATTAAGAAAGAAAAGTTAAAAAGGAGAAGAAGGGGAGCTGAAATGGCCAGGGCAGAGAGATGAAATATAGTCTGAGAGAGAGGAAAGAACAAGAAGACACAAACTAAAGAAGGGGAAGAGAATACAGCTTGGGATGCAATGAGAAATATGTGATTCAGAAGAAAACAGGATTGAATTAACAGGTATATGAGCAAATTCAGCGCCTTAATCTTCTGCTCCCACAATTTAATCAATTTCTGAGTTAAAAAGGAAAAAAAAAAAGTAAAGAAGTGAGAATACTGATACGGGTCTAACCCCAGAGCACAAACACGAAGAGGAGCACACTGCAGCAAGAAAAAGGACTCAAGAAAAAGGGGTAAACAGCAAAGAGAATGGACATGTCATGGGAAAACCACCAGTACTTCATGAGAGGTCAGTTAGTGGTCAATAATGAGACAACATAGATTTTAAAAAGACTAAGAAAAAAGAAAAAAAAGAAGAAAAAAAAAAAAAAAAGAAAAGCAAGCCCAGAGCACATGACTGCTGAAAAAAATAACACAATAAACACAATATTGGCTCCACCAGAGGAAGGGTAAGCCTTAGGCTGGAGAAGGTCTAAGGTACTTGCTCTATGCTTAGAGGAGAAACAGGAACACAGTTTCAAAAAAAACTTTTACCAAAACAAATCAGGAGAGCACATACCAAATAACCTGTATTTATGACCACGGAACAGACTTGGAAATTTCCTCCCTTTTGTTGACCCGGAGCAGCAATACAACCCCACGCACTGTATATTGTTCTCACTTGTTTACTAAGAAAACAGCGATTCATAGTTCTCATATGACAAATGTGAAGTAGCCCAGCAAGGCTTACGAGACAAGATTTTGAAAAGTAATTAATGACTTTGCAGGCTCACCTGAGGTGACTGATTTTCAGAGCACACTCTGAAAGACCGGGTGGCTTAAAGCTCTTTTCATGCAGGTATCAAAAAAAGGTGCAATTGCAAACTTCAAGAGTTACTTTTGAAAGTACTGTCTCTGGACTACCTCTTTAAAGTTTTCTTATTTAAAATTAGATCTTCCTATTTTAAACTATTTTCTTTTGAATCCCTCTCAACCCACCCCCAAAACGTGCCTAGTCCAACTCCCACAACTAAATGCAGATTCTTACTATCGTAACTCTCATTTGGATAACATACTACTACACATTACCGCACACTGACGCATAAAAGTCAAAGTTCTTACTATTAACCTTAATGACAAGAAAACACTGAATACAAAGAAGTCTGTACCATTTTCTAACAATCAAATAACCAGTGACCTGTAGTAAACTGGCACAACTACATCAAATGGAAACGTCTCATCTCTGTGAAGATCAAATATGTTAAACAGAAATCAGTGTATTTTATCTTTTATCTATATATATTGCTGCATGCATACATCCTCACTCAGAACATACACATGTATGGATGTGTATATACGTGTAGCATATGTATACGTTATATACAGCTTTATATAATATATATTACTATAGGTCAACTTTATATAATATATGAAATACGAATACTATACCAGCCTCCATTAAAAACATCCTCCTTTCACAACACGTTCCCCACTGAAATGCATTAGGAGAACATTGAGCTTGCTAAGTCAAGCACTCAAAAGTTAGAAGATGTCAAAATTACACTAACCATGCAACCTTGCATCGGTTGTCATTTTGCATAGCCTTTAATTGCATAACACATGCGCTTTTTTTCTTACAGGATACTTGTTTTTTTCAGTGTCCACGACTGACAACGTTCAGTGAACGAACAATCCTTCAATATCTCACTTTACGCTCATCATTCACTGTCTACCCTACACCTTGTTTAAAATACACTATTTAAACTTTTCTCTGAACACAGAATTATTAATTTCTTCCAGAGCATCTGTGGCACTCTTCACCATCACATCTAAGAGTTTCCAAATTACATCTCCACAACATTGTTCTGAGCTGAGGAGCTTTTGTTACAGTCAACTCAATTCAAGAGTGCCCATTACCTGTTTGCTCAGAGCACCCAGGACCATTTGTTCACAGCATGGTTCTCCTTGACTTCGTTACAGCTGGGTGCATTCAAGACTTCCGGAAATCAGTCCCCAAGAATCTTGGCTCGGAAATCAGAAATCAAGGAATCTGCCACTTTGAGTATGTTGGGTTGAAGGTACCTTTCCAACACTGTAAAGAGCTTTTGATGGAGGGAGCAAGAAACTTTTGCTCTGCAGAGTGGCCCTAAAAGACTGTCCTGCAGGCTTCTAATTCATTTTTCATCTTCTGTAATAAATGAAGTAAGGTCACATGGGTAATCTGGCTGCCTGAACTACACAATCCTGACTCTCACCTCGAAAACTCTCTCCCCATCTCCTATCCTTCAGCTGGTTTTCATGGCCTAGACACAGTCTTCATTCTTGTCTAACTTCACAATGCCATCTACCTCCTTGCCATCTACCTGGGGCATCTCTCTTGTGCATGCCAGTGGGGTAGCTCCTTTTCCTCCTGTTTGGATTCCATCAGCAGGAGTTTGAGTCTAAAAGAGAAAGTTTTGCTTTCCAATACTACAATCTGCATCAGAATGGGCCCTGATCCTTAGGGGAGCAACAGTAAAAGATGTTCTTGCTGTGCTGTGTCCATACAGACAATTTTTACTGACACTTCCCAACTCTTCTGACCTTAAAGGCTCTCTGACAAGATGCACTATTAACACAACTTTGATTGTTTTGAACAGATTTTTCAAGGGGATGGAACCTTCTTCCCATAAGACATTTTTTAACATGGATAAAACACAGGATGTGTTAGGATAAAACCTAACACAGAGAAACAGACGAATAGGATTTTTTTTGAAGTAAAAAAAAATAAAAATAATATTACCCTGAGGCAGAGAGTTGATGGGGAAAATTTCCGCACGAACAATGAAATACTAGCAAAGTTGTACAGCCTTTGAAAATAGGAGCTTACAATAAAAAGTGTTGGGCAAATTTAATTACAGTCATTCCTGCCTGAGTAGTTGCCTATAGTTTCCCTCCTACAATGCTGTTTGCTTTACAAAAAACTGATAAAAAAAAAAATCCAAAGTGAAGTTTATACTAAAATATACTTATCTAGGAAAAACTTATAAAATACAAAGTAATAAAAAATGCTTATATATCATTACATTATCACTATAAACATAAGACCTGTTTACATATATGAATATATTGTGAAGAAAAACAGAAGCGTCAATTTGGGGAGAGGAATTGTTATGAAAAGAAAATACAGCATGGATCCAAGACAGTTAAGAGAACGAAATGAGACATGTAAATCACTGTCTTGATTTTTTGATTGTATGATGGCATTTATGTAAAAAGCAGAGTCTGCCCCTCAGGACTAGGCTCTGAAAGACGTGAATCAGCAAAGATTCAAGCCTTTCTCTGTATCATTATTTTTCAGTTACATTTACATTCTCAGTTGCCAGTCTTCAACGCGCAATAGTTAGAATCACAAAACCTGCATTGCGAAGGTTTGCATAAAAATTAATTAGCTTTCATCTCCAGAGAGTATGCATCCTTCCAGGTCACCACAGAGGCCACTGGAGGTGCAACCATAGCTGCGTCGACACTGGAGCTCATTCCCCAGCTCCACTTTCCCATCTCACCAGCATAATCAACTTTGGTGATAAAAAGGAATTGTTCCATCAACTCTTTTACAAGACTGTCACAAGCAGCCTCATTCACGGCAGAAACACTTATGAAGCAGCAAGTAGTTGACATCACAGGCTCAGGGAGTGCATTTACATTAACTGAAAAAAGAGAAGTAATCAAAAATAGCATAAATTACTCCACTATCATTTAACAAGTAACTTTTGTTCTTTGTCCCATTAGAAACTGCAGTGTCAATCAAAGAAGGTGCTCCCAGACCTCTCCTTCCAGTGAAGTTTAAGGCATCTTTCCATTGGCCATAAGAGCAGGAGAAACAGGCTTTAGAAGTAAACTAAGGGCACATGATACATCAGAGCAATTCAGCGTGGAAAAGAAATATTATGCAAGGACCTGATCCTTACAAAAAGCATATGCACATAATAAATTTTAGGTATGTAAACTGCCATACTGGCCAGTATTTCTTACATCATTCAGCTGCTTATTGCGGGCTGGGATGATCGTACTGGTTAGCTGCTTATTCCCTGCCTTTAAAGCTGCATCTCTTCTTGCTTGCTCAAGCAGAACTCTCGCTCGTTCTTTAAGTTCTTCCTGTCTTGACAACATTCGTTGCTTAAAAATAAAGAAATACAATTAACAGCAAGGCAGCCTCAGGGTACTTAACATTTATACTGTAGTTAATAGCCAGGAGCCTTCCTATATAATAAAGGTCAAGAGTCACATGGATTACGACTTCATGAGGTGACAGAGCATTCTATAAAAATGAAATGTAAAGAAGATCAAAATGTAAAATTAAAAAAAAAGTCATAGGCCTTTATAATGTAAATAAGAGTTCTCTGCCCTCCCCTTAAAACTTAATTTCTATCAACATTTAATGTCTTTAAACTGCAACTGTGGAAAAAAATAATTGGCTTTATGGAAGCTATGTTAAATGTGCTATGTGTTTACTTATTTACTTTAATATGTATGCAAATATAATGCTTCGTTGGCTACTTATACGGGTATCACTCATTTATAACTTAAATTGAACACGAACAGGCTGGTTACAGGGCAAAAAACCTGTGAAAATATCTGCTTCTACTTCATTTATGAATATCCACGAGAAAGTCCCTTCTTCATACACATGACCAATTATATCGCAGAGTCGAAATAATAGAACGGGGGCTTCTAAGCAGACAACATGAGCAGCTCCCATTTATAGATACTTCCAAGTGCTAACTTCTTAGTGAAGGTCAACTGTGAATACTCTGGGAAAACGGGTCTCTAGGCCTTTACACAAGCTAGAGCTGGGACAGATGTTGCAGGTTGTGCTCTTGCAACAACTACGCGGAAATGGAGATGGTCGACTCTAACCAACAGCTGAGCGCTCAAGGTTAAGATTGAGGCTCGCATCTGTGATTTTATTACCATGTGCAAATGCACAGAAGATCAATAAAAGAACTGTCTTTAAAGTTATTGCTTCCTTTTTCTTGGCCTATTACACCCTTGCACATAAAAATCTTCATGGAGAAGACATCCTGTCTCATCCTGCTCTATTATTCTGTATGGGCCAAATTGTTCCTTTCTCATACAGTAAAAAAAAAATGAAGAGAAACTTCATGAGACTTCAATAACTAAAGGAAAGAAATTAGCTGGCTATGGAATTAATATTTGGCCCCTATCACCTATCATGGACTGCTTCTCTTGCAATAAAATGAATCTTTATGGAGCTAAGTCAGGAAAAAATGTAAAAATATTTGAAGCAATCCACACTTCTTATCAGACCTAATGCTACAAAGGCAAATGAAGCTTAAACTCAAGAAAGCTCTTCACAGGGGTAAAATTATAAGCCTGATTTGGTATTTTTGTGAACAGGGTTGACAACGTTTTTTACATCGCTTTGTGATAATATGCTTTATTGATAATACTCAGCATTTATATAATATTCAACTTTCATCCTCACAATAAATCTGCAAGGTAGGTGGGCATATCCTTTTTATCTTTATAGAAAGGAAAACGACATTGTAGTTAAGTAACATGCTCAAGGCCACTCAATGAGCAGCATAATTCAATATTCTGGAGTTTCTACCTCACCATCATGGGCTATGTTCACAAGACTATGTGGTTTCTCAGGTATATTTTAAGGTATTCAAAACTTCACACTTTTTTAATATAGATCAATGAATCGATACATCTTTTTCCAGTTTTTGCTTCAGTATGCAACACTCAGAAGAAAGATGGGAAAAGCCTTGAAGCCATCTTCTTTGAGCTGGTTGAGAATACGACGTTACTTCCTTTAATTGGAAAGAGATTGGGAAGATTAACAGTAGGACAATTCCTAGAAATGAATTTTTCAAGTAACAGCTCCTTTTCAGCATCATCTACTTTCAGTCAAAGAATCTATTGCCCAACAATGAGAATATACCACCCGCCTTGCCATTTATACTGAAGATATGATGTAAATTACAAACGTGGAGAAAGAACTTGAAGAGCATCTCCATCCTGACTCACAAGCATACAGAAAGTTTAAATTTCTTACCTGGGCTGTTTTTGCAGCTTGATCTGCATGATTTAAAGCCGTTCTGGCATCGTTGTCAGAATCAGATTCTGTTTGCCTCGGAGAAGGAGGCAGTTTCTTTGCAAGCTCCACGTCCTTATTATAGGAGTATCCAAGCTTAGAAGTAGGAGATAAACTCGGCTTTGTGACAGGTGAACCAGGATCTCCTCTTGCGCTCTCTGTGGATCCTATACGTCCCAGCTTTTCCTGCTCTGAGTAACCAATGGTACTGTCTGAGCTCTGGTGTCTCTTCTTGTCGTTATCTTCACAAGCAACCGTGGGAGACACATCCTCTTTTTGATCACTGACATGTGCCAAGTCACTCAAGTCTAAAGTGTCAGCTATCAGCAATTTCTTCCTTCCCAACGCAGGCTGCGCTTGCGTTGTATCTGTACCGCTACACTTCCCAATGTCTTCAGAAGCAGAAGTCCTTCCAGAGCTCTGCTGGGATTTCTGTGGATCTGTGTCACTTCGAGTCCTGCGAGAAGAAGGGGAAGCTGTGCTTGGGCTTAAATGGTCATCGGGAGTCTGATGCTCGCTCTCAGATTCACCAACACCACTGTCATTTACAAACACAGAGTCATCCTGAGAAGCAAAGTCTGCCAAAGCACTGTCCGGTGGATGCAGCTCAGGCTCCCGGTTCAGGTCGTTCAGTTCTGCGTAGAATTTTTCCTGGTCAACAGAACTGTTGGTGTCTGTTTCATAGTTACCCACTTTATATGTGCTTTTACTGCTGTTCTCCTCTATTTGAACCACATTTAACTCTTGGCCACAGAAATGCGCCCTTATTTGATAGAGATAGGTCATAACAGTCAGTTTGTCAGGTATTGCTAACAAAACCATGTCAGAAGGTTCCAGCAATCGCGATATTCCTAAACTGGCAAACCCATCGTATGCCTTTAAAAAGAGACAAAGTAAAAATTACAATGTGGCAGTTTCTTCCATATCGTAACATTTCAAGAATGCAAGTGGAAGTTTCAGTCAAAATACGCAAGCATAAACCATATCCAGTATTACAGGAACAGTGTGGGTTCTATCACTTATTATTCTTTTGGCTTCATTACAGTAGTTAATATTTTTTGTTGCACAATCCAATCTGAACTCATCAATTTTTCCTGATAGCTTCTAGATATCTTCCCGGGTATCTTCATAGCAATGCAAATCAAGAAAATACGACCAGTAAAGACACTCATATGGCATTGTTCCAAATATTTTTAATATACCTCAATACCATACTATACTAAAATCTTTGGTTACTCAAAATTATGCCACTTTCATGAGTAAAAAGCTGCTCATGAAACCACAACTTAAAAGCCCTTCTGTTTGCACTAAGAAAACCTACTAACAACTTAAATGGCTCTCACTCAGGTAGCAGTAAACAAGCAAATAAAAAAAGCGTAAGAGTTGGACTAGAAAAAAGCAACTAAGGATGGCTTTTTAAGATAAGGAACAAAGATATAAGAAACACGACACTAATCCATCTTGGGCTTTATCACTGATGATCAACCTTCTCCCTTCTACTGGTCATGTAATTGCAGTGATTTGTGTTGATGAAAAACTATGTCCAGATAGCCAAAAAGAACACCACCACAGATCACTTGATACAAGACATAAATCACACTAATCCAGCACACAAACGCATTTTAAAAACATTTGTTGATGCTAAATTTATAAGAAAGAGAGAGTGAATTTCAGTCTTTCTTCACTTTCATTTCTAAAAGCTAAAGACTTTGCAAGCTTCCCACTTTGTGAGGCCACATTGTCTTCTCTCTGCTAGCCCTTTAAGTGAGTGGGCTTGGTGCATCAGGTTTTTCTAGTTTTGAAGAATTAAAAGCCGTTTCTCAATTTACAATTAATTATTACTATCCTGGATTAACCCTGGAAGACAATATTGAGTTTCAAGGAAGCCTTTAAAAAGGCCTCCTGTTAGTGCAGATGCACTCAGTTACAGCACTTGGCCTTCTCCTCCCACAGCAATTCTGCAGCTCCTTTTCACCCTTTTCTGAAGGGGTCTAAAACATTCACAGTTGTTCCTACACTATTTTGAACAAAACCAGATGCTAAATTTAAGACATGGACGAGAACCTATCCTTTCACAAGGAAACAGTAACAGACATCACTGGCTTCAACTCTACCCCAGTTTTACACCATTTCCTTAATTTGTATAGTCTTAGAAGGGTGGAAGAAAGAAACAAAAGGGAAATCAATTATGATTTTTTTTATCCTTTTGATTTTCATACTAGTAAATGTTAAACAGTGAGTTAGAACATGGGTCTGGCAGACCCAGTTACTTCACTTGCTCTGAGAAAGGGAGGTTCTCTCATTCCCTACTTGAGGGTCAAGCAGAATAGCAGGAATACGACGGGAGGAAGTGAATGGAAAGAACATAGAAGTGAATGGAATGAACACAGATGGTAGAAGAGAGACAGCTGTCATTTACCTGGTCTTGGGACACAGAGCTGGAGGAGCAGGATCAGGCTGGATATGGAGGAGAGGGAGACTAGAGAGGTGGAACTGAACAGACATGAGGAGCACAGAGAAAGAGAGCTAGAGGAAAGCAGTGCAGGCATTTGGGTGGGCAGCCTAAGCCATGGCAGGTACCGGGAATGATGGATGTTCATACGCCAGCAGAAAACAGGCTGGGCACGAAAGCGTAGCAAGCCAGCTGTGCTGTCCTGTGAACCAAAGGTGACACTGGGATTTGTTGTTTGATTAAGCAGGTCAGTGCTGATTTAGTGGCACAACCAACCTGTTACCTCACACTGAAGGTAGCGGGAGTTACCATCTGAAGAATGAAAGGACCTAAGGATGAGCTTAGCAGTCCAGCCAAAGCCCAAACTCATGACTTGACTTGGACTCTTTTATACTCTCAATTTCTTATTTATATGCTTATAAAACTAAACCCTAAGAATATCTCCCAGGGTCTGGAAAATGAAGGTGGGGACAGTGTTTCTGAGCTGTTAGGAAAGGTACTTGCTTAGAATGGGTAATGCTACAGCAGAAGGATTGAGTTTGGAACGATGGATATTCTCGATACAGCTGCAATCACTTCTTACTGTCTGCTCTGTTCACCTGGTGATGCTGGGGACTAAACACAACAGTCTTCCGCTGATGCCAGGTACTTATTTCCCATCCCCTCTCGTTCTCATTTCAGACGACACACATTCTTAGTCTCTGCTTTTAAAGTGCACTAGATATCTAGACTGGCATGCAAATGTTTTACAGTCATTAGCTCTATAAATAGCAATCATATGTTCTGTACATGTCCGCACAGCAGTGAGCAATGGCTTCTCCTTCACTGTCAGGAAAGCTGGGAGCTTCTTGATATTCCAGCATATTTATAAACACCTAGTGTTTCCAATTAGTTTGTAACATAGTATTAACAGAGTAAATTTTCCAAGTCAAATTGCTTTTGTTAAACAGAGGCGGAACTACTCGTTGATTTTGCAAACGTTTATAAGAATGTTTAACTACGCTCCTGCATGACCCCACTGAGGATCGTACAACAAGCAACTCGTACACGTATAATTCAACACGTGCTCATGATTTTGTGGAATCAAATCGTAGATGTGAGCATGAACGCCTGTTATAAAAATATGGCTGCCAGCTTAAAGGAAAGGAATTTTTTCCATTTTGACTCGATCATATCCCTGCATTTCTGAATTCTTCTGTTCAAATGTATATTCTAAAAGGATTCCTGACTTGCTAAATGGAATATTTTGTCGAGACAATCAAGCCCAAATGTATTGAGGGATTTAGTAGAAACAGTCAAAAACTGGAAAAAAAGGAAAAAAAAAAGCATCACAAAAATTGAAAGCATCAATCGAACATCCAGAAGACATACTACTATTTCCACACAATAATCCCTCAAATGAAACAAGCTTCTCTAAACAATGAAGTAATTAAAACCAGAAGTTCATTAGTAGAATCATACTGTTGTGCCCTTCCACTTCTCATTCCTTCATCCCCTCCAAGCTCCAGCCAAGTGTAGTTTAGTAGCTTACATTTTTAAAGTGCAGGACATGTTATTAGTAATATGAAAAACTTCTATTCTTGATAAGGGACTATTCTGCCAATATGCTGTCATTTTAACACATTTTTCACTATTATTTACTAAGAATCTAATAGACATATTAAATAAAATTAGTTGGCTAATGTTATTGGGAAGGCTATATGGACAATTAAATAAGAGATTTAAGTAGAACCACAACTCTTTGCATCAGCTGGGAAAACATCTCTGTAATGTTCCTAATTTTCTCATAGATAATCCTAGTTTCTCTTTCGCTCCTGTCAGAAATTTGAATTTGCAATGGGCACTATGCACCAAAAATATCTTCGAATTCTGACTGATGCTAACGCAATCTGAAGTAGCTGTTTGTGGTGGTTTGTTTTTTTTTCAGATATGTACTTATATTGGGGAAAGTACAATACACATGTATACACACATCTGTATATTCAGGACACTAAACCTATTTTACCTATCTCCTGATGAAGTTTTTTTCATTTTTTCTTTTTTAATTCACTGACAAGCTGATTGACAGCCATCAATTGGGATCCATCAGCACAAACACCACAGGCAGTATTCCAACCATTTCCCAACTATGTAACACACTGACATATTGGCCAAGATCAGATGTCACAGGTAAATACCCTTTTTTTTTCCAGCATCAGTGGCAGTACCAATTCGGGAAATGACTGGTGTGTGTGTTATAAAGAAGCTCCAATGATCTGCCTTTTCTAACAGTGCATTTCATTGTGTAATTATACACAGTAATTGCACTGAAATAGTTGTCTCTTAAGATTTCTTCTTTTTTTATTAAAATACAAACAAGGTCATGCACTTCTAAAAGATATACTCTTATTAACCTTTAATCTATGGTCACACAGTCACCTCTTACCTCCTTTCCTGGGAAGGGAGGGGAGAAAAAAAAAAAAAGAGCTGCTTCAGACAAAGAAAATTGTCCTATTCATTCATAGATGTTATTTTAATTGGTTAGGAGGAATCATTGTCAAATGTGTTACATATCTGCATGGAATTTACAGGCAGCCATTGTTGCCAGTGCCGCATTCACTCCAACCAAGGGCACGCGGGGTTATCAGGCAGAACTGTGTGAGACCAGGAAATAAATCTGCAGGAAGCAACTGAGATACTCAATGTAGCTGTCAGGCGAAGGCTTGCAAAGTGATGAAAGAAGAAAACTGCACAATAACAACAATCATTACTTCTTCAATCCTGGGAACTATATCCTGTTAGAGAGACGGGCTAAAAAGTTCGTCGTTTGCCATCACAGTTTCATAAAGAAAAGATGACTGATTGTACTGCTAACGTTTTTAATTAATAATCTATTCTTTTTTTTTTTATAATCCAGCTTAATTAGCCCGGACGCTCAACAAAATTTGAAGTACAAAAACATATGGTCACAGAAAACACTGTGATGCCACGGATAATCCACTTAGGTCATCATAAGACCCCGTATTATTATGAAAAAGATATAATTGGCCAAATCACTCATTAGGTAGCAGCAGCTCAGAGATATTTCATTATTTATAATACTTAAGTACTCTTCTAAAGACAAGTAACTCCCTGGCTAACACACAAGTGTGCATGCACATTAAAACAGAATTACTCTAAACACAAATGAATTTTAATAAAGCACTTTCAGAAATTCCACATATCTACAATCTAATATTCTTTAGTTACATTTGCTATATAATATTGAACCTAATTAATTTATTCAAAGTATATTTTTATACCTTCATCCCAATTAAATTTAGTGCTTTCAAAGCGGTATAAAAATAAAATCACAGCATTGAGAAGGCAGCTACTTAAAAACAATTTTCAGATGATCTTCAGGAACAATTTTATTATCAATGACTCACATGAAAATTATCATTTCTAAACATACCCCTGGGGCCCAACCAAAGCTTGTAACACGCCTGAAATAGTGAGCAGAAATAAAAAGTTTTCTGGTGATTCTCATAAACCAAGTTCCTGCTTCTCCCAGAGAAAACTTTTTACATCTTTGTATCACAAAGGTACAAAGAGTGATTTCAAACAGCTGCTCAGCACAACGTTATAAACTATTTTGCTAGTATTTCCATTTGTTTGCAAAGTATTGTCTCAACACTTTTTATCTTAAACTTTCCGTGTTGCACTTGTACACCACTTCGCTCTGCTGGTGTAGTATAAAAGCAGGTGTAAAATTCATCTTTAAACATACAAAAATCACCATGAAAGCAACATCAGCCGTGACCATTACACAGAGCTCCATTAAAGCAACAGAAAGAGAAGTCTTGCCTATGACCATCCAAAAGCGGTTATGTTTTTCATCGTTTTTTTTTTTTAATTACGTGGCTGATTGGAAAAAATCAGAGGAGTGATCACAGAAGGTTGGCCAGGCCTTTCCTCTGCTTTCACAGTAAGCGTAGGCCATACAAATATTAAACTCTAATGCCAGCCTTGCACTTGTTGTGAATGTTAAAGACCATGACAAACGAGAGTCAATAATGCATCCGATTTGAACCGCGGGAGGTTGAATACCTTCTGCGAGCTGCAGTTATGACCTCACGAAACAACCGCACTTTCCCAAAATTAATAAAAACCTGCAGCGAAGCCAAAATTGAAGCTATGTCTTTTTTTTTTTTTTTTTTCCCCTGGCAGTTCTTACCTTTTTGTTGTTCTCTTTAATATCTTGAGGATTCAGGGACTTGTAGTCACTGAGGGGGAAAATGGCACAGTGGGTATGTACAGTATTTGATAAAAGCAGCAGTTCTAAAACAAACTGAATCTAAAAATTTGACATACAATAATATCGTACAGTAACTAGCAATTTCACAGCAATTCAATCAACAAAACTAATAGTGTGGAAAATTAAAGGAATAAATAAATAAATAAATAAATAAACACCGATTACATGTTTCATTGCCTGAAGCTTTCCATCTAAAAAAGAAGTTAAGGCAGGGACTAGAGGCCGGCCTTGACAACCAAATTTACCAGGAGGTAATCCGTCCTTGTCAGCGTACAAAGAGCTACAGGCTTATTCCTCTCATCTCATTTCAACACCGGCACAATTTTCATAATCATCTTGAAGTCAGTTCTTTTTATAAGATTAGGAAGAAGAAAAACAAATCACAGAGAGGGGAGAAACAATTGTTTATGCAATAAGGGAGAGCAAGGAGGTCATAAAGTTTGAGCATTCATAAATCTGTTTTCTTAGAAAGGACGGTCCCCTGCTTGAAAGAAAAGAGTGAAAACAGTTTAACATCTGAAACGAACAGGGATTTGATTTTTACATCAACTTAAACATCACACATATCTAGGAGAGTTAGCTTAGCAGACAGAGTATACAACTTACATTAGGTCTGGTTTAAAGTGATGTAATATTGCACAAAAGGATAAACCGTTTCTCCACGACGTAGTAAAATTGGTGATTTTCACTCCCCTATAGTTTTTTGTAACTTCTTTGCACCACACAAGCAGTGACTGACTAGCGTTTGGCTTTCTCCCCAAAACAGGACTTGGTATTGGGCTTGGCTGCAAAAAAAAAAAAAAAAAAAAAAAAAAGAAAAGAAAAGAAAAAAGAGAAGAAGATAAAAGAATTTAATGGAAGATGAGAATTAACATTAATTGACCTAACCAGATGATCTGTATCCTTTGATGTGAGTTTAGGTCCTTCACAGCTGTCAGTTTACAATGACTGTAACTTGCAAAAGACACAAATAGCAAGTTATTATCTCCAGTTGTCGCCGTTGGCACTTGTCTCCAAAGGATGTAGATATACAGGATTCCAGATCTACATAGGAGGACAGGCCAAGAATTGTACCAGTAGAAACACCATGCTGAAATACTTAAGGCATAGTCCTGCACAGCCTGTGACACACAACCTTGAAAAGACTTCCCCAAATGCATGCATGGAAAAGCATTCCCACAAGCCCTTCCATTTTTAAGGAGGATAACACTGGGACTAGATCCAAAGCCAGGCATAGGAGGGGCAGAGTTTACCGCGAGTTGTGATCAGCCACTGTGGTGTAGGGATCAAAGTCACTGCGTCTGCGACATGGAATTATCACACTCACCTCCCACACGCCCCAGCGTAAAGTTTGTGGCTGTGCTGAGCGTGCGACTGCATAAAGGTGATTCCAGCATGGTGTTTATTACCAGCCACTTACAACCATAACCAAAGAGCTTCCTCTTCCAGGCTTTCGTTTTTCTACTTGGAAAAGGAAATTCGGCCATAAATCATTATCAGAGGGTGGTTTCTAACAAGTATCATTAGCTAACAACGACTATTTCCCAAAAGGTTATTTTGACACTTTGAGTAACGTTTTTGCTAGCACAAACCAAGAATTGAAATGGAATAAAGTGTTTCAGGCATTTGGTATTTGTCAGACTGCCCGCCGTTTCTCAAATTCAGCAGAGAACTCCCTGATTGCAGCTAATGTTTTCAAGAAAGATGCACTCATTTCACTAGGAAAATACTGTCTCTTTAAAAACTTCTTAGCTGTAATTAAAAAGACAGAATTTGACTGACATAAATCCAGAGTCTG